ATATCAACTCAAACCATAATTGCGAAAGTTGCTTACAATGTTAACATTAACATGGTAACATTACACAGCTAAGCAAGTAAGACTGATTCATTTCTGTTGTTCGCTTTGTGAATTTCTGTGTTTGTGGAACTTTCATGTGTTGTTCAGCTTGTTCTAACGCAGTCCATTATTTGGTACTTGCTACCTCCATGTGCTTATGCGCATGCAATGAACCTCAATCTAAGCAAATGATCCCATCTTTGTTTTTTTTGACCTTCAACCTTCCAACTTGGTTCCACCCTCTTTCACCCTTACCCTAATCGAACTATTACTTAACACTGTGCGTTTCGGTTAGGGGCGGGGCCAAGCCGTGGTATCGTACCAATAGAGGTCCCAGAGCGAATCCTTGCAATAGTTGGCAAATTGCCACGGACGGGCATGTACATTTTGTTGCGTTCTGCAAGAAGGGCTGAAGGGGTTACGTGACTACTTGAACTTTCTCTGCGTCCTTGACAGTAAGATGCCAGATTACGAAGAAAAACACCTCGGGTGAAGCTTACGGGGGTGGTGGTGGGATCCCACTTTAAAGACAAGCACAACACTCAAAGACTACATCAAACGAGAGTGAGACAGACGAGGGCAGAAAAATGACGCATCTGGCAAATTCAAAGGAACCGAGTACAAGTAGTCCGTAGAACGGGCAGTGAAGGATCAGTTACGTCCTCCTTCGCTTTCTCAATATACAATGTTTCAAAGGCATACACCTGTCATAGTGGAGCACGTTTGTTGTGAAAACAACAGTTTATTCAATGGCTTACAAACGTTTATCTGCAGAGGCAGGGGTCTCGTGCAAACATCCCTTCGTCCATCCTTAAAAATGAACCACTCCAGTGAGGCCTAATATTTTGGGATTTCTGGGGATTTCTGCAAATCTCGCCAAATCTGCAGACAAGCTCTTGTGCATCAACACGTCTGCACTGTTATTGAAAAAAGTTTATCAATTTTTCAGCAAACTGTGCCCTTAGGTCAAGTTCAGGTTCCAGAGCTTTAATAACTTTTCATATAAGATGGTCTCAATCACTATGTCAAAGAGAAAATAAACAAATAAACCTCACAATAAGTTCTACATCCTAAGATGCCCTGCAGCATATCAGAAACTGGCGACTGGCTTTTTAGGCTAGAGCCAAATTAGAATGGCCACTGTATACTGTAATGTCAGGTACTAAGCTGTTCCTCTGAAATTCACGCCATCTAACTCCCTCACCGGTGCAGAATCTTTATTATAGGTACTGTCATAGTGAATCTACTTCCATTCGATGATCCATCAGGAAAGGAGAGCCAATGGGTGAGGCTTCCTATTTTTGGCCTTGTTTTATATATCTCACCTTTTTGCTTTGGAATCGCTCTTCCACTAGAGAGAGTACTTTTGACGTCTTTGAGACCTCTCCATAGAGTTTCCCATTCCAGCCGTTTCTGGAACGTACTTTCTTTTTGTTTTAATACTTTTCATTCAATTACTCTCATGTTTACAGTTGGCGAATGAATTCAAGCGATTTTTCGATAATTGTATGCTGCAAAAGAGTTTCGGCAATATGGTAAGTATCGGTGTTTCCAGTACGTCTTTTCAGCTTCGTATCATAGACTGATCCATGAATATCCTTTTGCAGATATTAACCTGCTCACAACGTCTTCGCTACGAAGGCTTAACGGACGATTTCGAGAAATTTTGGAAGAAATTAGAGGAGTAGATCGTCGACGAATAGATAAAATATCGTGAAACAGTTTTTTTNTTTTTTTATGGATTGTGTCATTGCCTGTTTTGATTTTGTTTTGTAACTTTTGTTGGAAACCTTTCCTTGCCATAATACAAGCTGTTTTTGATGCTCTGTTCTTAAGTTTGCACGAGAGCCCGTGAGAAGCGAGTCTTTTTTCTTTTAAAGGGTTAAGATCTCAACCTAAATTTTTCTTTGGTCCCGGAAGAGAAAGAGTGAGTTGAGTAACTACAAAAAAGAAAAGAGTTCGAGGGTGACAGAGGGTGGTTCGGGGATGTGCTTCTGGGAAGCTCCGGTGTAGCTCTATTAGTTGGCTGTTGCGCCCTTTGGACTGCCCCTCCGAGCGCTCGTTCCATCGGTGGATCGCTCGAGCTGGCGATCGGGGCAGCTTGAAGACGATCGGGGTCTCACGCACGTTCGCAAGCTCAACACCCTCTGGTAAGCCTTGCGGCCCCATTGTCTACGCCAACTACCTCCGCTTGGTACTGCCAGTACACTAGGAGCTCTTGTTTGTCTAGCAAATTTACTCGCATTTATCGCATGTATTTACTCTTTATTTTTAAGTAGGTAGTCAGTCATAAACTTACATAATTCATCTGCAAACCACTATAATTGTACACTACGCACCACAGATGAACTATATAATTTTATGACTGACTATTTATACTATGTATATGAAAATAAAAAGAGTAAATATTTGCGATAAATGCGAGTAAATGCGATCAAATACGATTATGACAAATACTATGGGAAAGAATATAAAGAAAGTATATACACATACAGAAGTTATATACAAAGTATATATATACATATGATAAAGTGTATTCACAAAACCACACTGAACCTACATACAGTTAGGTACGATCCTGCTGACGACTAAGTCAGGTCATCTAATCCTCCCACTCTCCTTGCGGTACTGCTGCCCCTTGGTTCATCCTTGACTGCAGTCCAATGTTCTAATTTTCCTTGCGTGAAGTCGACTATGACAGCAATGCAACAAAAGTAGATGGCAATAGTATGGTGCTTTGGAGTCCTCTGGAGCTACGACCGGTGGTGTTGACTTGTTTTGGTTTTTGACCGGTGTGGGATGCCGTAGTCCACATGTGGACTCCAGTTGTATTTTTGTTGTTGTTTATCTATACTTCCACTTCTTAACAATCTTTCTCTCAAATCTTCTTCTCAAGACATTGAATCAGGTCTAAGTGGAACTACGTACTGCGTGTTCCCAACATATACATAGTGTATATACCTCCGTGTGATTGGTTGAAATTTGAGGAACACTCCGAGCACCATCTTACCTTACCTTAAGACCTTTTACTTTCTCTGAATTATACCACTTTGACGGAATAGAAATAGAAAAATACTGCTGCTTTAGTGACTCGAAAGTAGTTCCCTTGAAATCGTTGACTTGTTTAAACTGTTATGCCCTTGCTCAGCTTCATGCATGACGATGGCGGTTTGGGTGATTTGAGAGAAGAAATCCTTCCCCACCATTTGCATGTCTTCCTTACGAGCGGAGTATATGAAGCGATGCGGTCAGGTTGATCAACAAAACCTTTCCTATTACTGTAGTTGTCAACTACCAATGATTTCATGTTTTTTCCATCGTTCTTCGTAGGAATCAACAGAAAATCATCGTGAGCGTCGTAGTGCTCATCGAAAGTGAATCAATCGTACTCCGCAGTTTCACTTGACCAAGAATCGACACTGATATCATATTCTGTCCCTGATGCCGAAAGAAGCGCAAAAGCTGCATCATTCTCATCTTCTGCCTGCTCTTTTTCAGAACCGATCAGTAGCTGACTCAAACTCGAGTTCTGCATAGCATCTTCGTTAGTCGTAAGCCAAACATGTAGCTTCAGATAGAATACAAAATCATTACCAACCCAAAGTTCAAAAAATTGTCATGCTGGAACATGTAGTCCAAATAAGGGATGCAGTCGCGGGCGAGCGAGAAGTGCTCCAATCTCCGCGGCGTCATTCTCGCCAAAGTGGTTGCAGTCGATGGGTTAATCCTTAGATAACTTCAGTTGTCCAGTCTCGCCATAAATCTGCAACAGACTGTGGTTACTATGATATTTGATGTTCCCGGTAGATTCCCTCGTGAAATCCAGTACCTGACAAAATTTTTCAACTAGAAGCCCGAAGTGCTTCTAGCACATGCTATCCTCAAGGTTAGATACTGTACTGGGGTTGTCGCTTGATTTTCTGCCAGAGACTGAGTGAAAAACCGTTTGTATTTTTACAAGGCCACTCTTGTGCTCACAAAATGTTGCTCGAGTTCGAGCTTATCTACTTAATACCATTACCTTGGAGAGGGGCCTAGAAAGCGAGTTCACAGCTAGGAAAGCAACGCGTTTTGAACAAGTCCTCATTGGCTCCATTCTACTGCGAGTCCCTCAGCAGACTGAAATCAGCAGACTGGAACCAAAAAACAGTTGGAGGGTGGAGGAAAATCGTTTGCTCACAGTAAAATTGACCTTGATCAAATCACTTTCCCAATCAAAAATTGTGTCTATATAGAAAAGAAAAGAGGTGAGATAACACGAAAAGGCACTACCATGCGCATGAAGACGTAGATGCCAAGTACAGACACTGTTCTGATCTCCCGTCAGGGTAATCCTCCTCAAAGTGTCAGGAAATACAAAAGGTATTCTACTCTACTTCCCAATCCATCATCCGCGACGTTCTACGCAAAAGTCGCTTTTAAAGCAGGACTCTTGCAAATACCGCGCACTTCTTGACTGAGCAGGAGCATCGAGTGCGAGTCCGTGTGTGTGTTAGAAGCTCCTCGACTAAGTGCGACGACGTCAACCGACTTTACTATTGCTCAGGATAAAATGTAAGTGTCATAGGAAAATCCACACAGGAAATCGCAATGCTCACCTGCGGACGTAAGGTCACAGCTCGCTAGAAAGGGAGGCACTCGCTCACGCCGAGAAGGACATGAATTTTTTTTCCTCTGCTCGAACGGGTGTATTACTAGGAGATCCTGCCAGAGTGTACTGCGGTAAACGTAAGAGTCTCCTATTAATTAGTGGGAAAAATCATGTCCGAGCCCCCATTTTACAACGATCACAAGTAAATTCTCGATTGTGGTAGATAATGCTCGACCACACCACGCAAGGAGATCCATAGATGAAATGAAACAACTTGGTATAACCTGGCTATCCCCATTCCCACATATTAACTGACCTTAACCCTTATGACTGCCATACTTTCAGAAGCCCATAGGCCTAATTCATAGGGAAAAACTTCAACAATCACCATGGAGTCGAGCGGGTAGTAGATGAACAGGTTGCGTCGCGCCTCTCTTCTTTTTGGAGGAATGGCATCGGTGCTCTGTCCGGTTGATGAAGAGACATTGTGGTTTGGAAGGGTCACTATCTTGATCACTGTTCTAAGTTTATTGCTGTATTTATTTTGTGTTGAAAAAACCTACTGAATTTTCTCAAAACTTCCCGGATACCCTAACACTTAAATAAAATCGAGGAGAGTTTTTTGTGGACATGCTGGACTTACACCGACATTCCTACTTGTGGAACTCCTTGCCTGGGTGACAGCGTTCCACTTAGAACCAAGTTAAAGTTGAAGCGCCGACGAAAAGCGATGACATTTTCATGAAGCCTGAGTGACTAAAAGGCGCACTCAGTAGTTAAAGGTACACGACGCGATAAATGTAGTTTCTGATGTTCTTCTCTAAGATGAACTGCAACCCTCAAGGGTAGCATAGGAAAGCTGGTTGGGTCGGAAAACGTCCTAGATAGGACGTAATAAGGGCCCCTGAGGCGGCTTAGCTGGCGTACTTACCCAGAGGTCCCTTTCTTTGTCCAAAACGTTTTTCTTATGCAGTCGAATTCTCACGGGCTGTAGAAGCTGAAGGGGTTACACCATTCCCACGGGGACCCACACGCTGCGCGCAGGCAGCTTACTGTAGCCAGGTGTACACAACGGCACTTACAATTAGAAAGCACGTCCCAATGCACTTCCACTACGCAACATTTGTTGTCACATTCTCGTCCAACCCTTAATTTAACTGATTTTTATGGACTTTGTATATCTCTGAATGTTCTTCTTGCTTCCTGGTATACACTGTTGATATCCCCGAGCTATCTATTTTATGCTCTCAGGTCTATATCCATTAGAACGTGGCAACGACTTGCGTCCTTGACAAGAATGTTTTCAAGGCGCCTCGTTAAAATTCTCATATTCCGTGACCTGAAATTTCATCACAAAAACAGGCCGATGGAGTATTATGGGCGAAATTATGGAACACTAATGACCACAGATCTCCCCATCAATTTTGACCTATCAGAAGATTTGATGAGGAAATTCATCTCAAAGCCATTTTGCTCCAATTAATGTGTTCTGCACTGAACAATTTCCATATCCTGACCCTAGCCTATGAGTTTTCTGCAAACACTTCATTTTTTGTCACCCAAACGATTGAGAGGGATCAGAGCATTGTCTATCGCTAGTCATTCCGACTGCCAGCATTTAGTGTGATTCGATCGTGTCTACTGTTCACGCATCCAGACTGCAAGTGGGCGTATGAACCTACCATTCTGTTTTAAAGGTAAGCATGGTAAAGGATAAATGATATGGTCTTTTGGCGCTAATCAATTCCTCCTAAGGGATGCGCCCCGCTTTCGACTTCCATTCAGAATCGTAGTGGCGAATGAATGCGTATGTGGCCTACACAATGACTTGCGGTGGCCAGCCGATGTATAAATATGTGGCCTACACAATGACTTGCGGTGGCCAGCCGATGTACAAGTCAGTGCTTTTAGACGGGTCTAGTACCAACCCCGGAAGGTGGAAGGCTTGGTTGGCCCAGGCGGATATCGGTCCGGGATTCGAATGACCGTGCGTGGGTGAAATGCGTCACTTGCCACAACACCACCTCCGCCCAAGGTATTTAGAAGTGATACGATGGCCAACCGCTCTTTTTTCCATAAAGATAATTGTTAAAGAA